CCATTCTCTAGCCTTCTGCTTGATAAATGAATGAGAATTAAACTTTTCCCTTTTTCAGAGATAATTCTTGCCGCGCTCTTTTGCTTATCTATCAGCAAGCTCATTTCATTCTATTACAAGATGTACAGTGCTCCCTCGAGATGCTTTCCTAATCTGGAGAGAAAATTGATTACTGATGTGTGTGACCCGAAAGATATTAGCTTGGCTATCAGTGAAATAGGTATTATATTATCAGCAAAGATTTCTTTCTCGTATTGTGTTGTTTTCAAACTGTAGTAATACGCGACGTCTATGGGTCAGAGAGGAGCCCAATGTGCTAGATAGTCTATGACTCAAGTAGTACACTAAAAAACACAAACACTACAACCTCTAATAGCTTCTAGAGGTTCGCCTCACACACATGTGCGATATACATAACAATGGATGGTCATTCACATTATATTCCCATTCGTGTCACCCAATTTAATTTGGCGTTGTCTTAACGTGCTAGCCATAAACCCTACTTCTTTATTTTCTTTTTTACATTCTTTATTGCAACATTTAGATAGATTCAAATTTCTAGCAGACTAATGACCGGTAATATGTACGCATTTTGGATTACTCTTTTGACAGTAGAGATATTGACATTTCCAGTTTGATCGCAAATACCACTACGAGCTATGTTTACTTACAGAAACAGTCGACTCTTTTCTATGAGTATAATGTGCTAGATAGTCTAAGACTCAAGCAGTACAATAAACATACCTCTCTCTCTTCTGTTAGTACCAACCAAGCGATGACCTCTAATGTTAAAGCCAGGATGATGGAACATTAGGCCGCTACTAGATAGGCTATAAGAAGACACTGGCGGTGGCTGGGCTTGCTTCTAGCTCATGGCTTGATCTACTTTGTATGTGTAAATTTCGTATCAGGCAAAAGCCCTACACCCAAGAGGCATGATGCGGATGTGTGATCCCTGAAGATTTACTACTATCCGTCCAGCTTTCTAGGCCGAATAAGTACATGAAAGATCAGATCAGGAAAATTGCCTAGACAAGAAACGCCCTGCGCCTTGCCCGTTGATCTACTATGTGATGTTACCTATATTAGACTGAAGTTTGGTTAGCGTTTACTTGTCTTCGGATCATTTGATGTTAGCATACAGCAGAACAAGTCCACGACAAAATCAGTTAATTAACGAGACCTAGATACGGACGGTTTTTCTTCGTCTCGCTATATGCATAAGGAAATTTGATTAACGACGCCGATCATAATAGTCTTTGTTGCTATGTATCTGTATCCAATCTACACCCTTGGTGGTCCCTATAGCTGACCAGCCACTTGATTCCATCTCTATCGTATTAGCGCAGACAGTACACACACAAGGGACTATTCCCGTAATACTACTAGTTGAATTTGTTGCTGAAGAGCTGAAAAGGAAGATCCACGATATCTTGTGATTTCCAGTTTTGCCATCTTTATCTTAGTCACTCAGTAATTTTAGCTATTATTAGCAGATATACTTCGAGTAAATCTTTGTATTAACTCCACAATCTCGAAGGCGGCGATCTTAGTCTATCCGGATACCTCGCCATAGCATCCAGGCTAATCTGAGTCACCTGGACACCTGCTCCACTCGGGAAAGAGACGCCTCAGACCACATTCCGCGCTGAGAGTCAATGGATGATGGAGGCATGTCTGGATAAGTCAGGGGTTTTAAGACTTTTCCCTGGGTGGGTATTCACGGATGAGGGTTGACTTGGGGTGAAGAAAAAGCATCCATAACTTCGCAGTGGTACTTGCAAATGAAATCCGAGGCATGAGTGCTCTTCCTGTACATTGAATCATCTTTTCTGTAATTTCTCTGATATCGTGTCATAGCTAGCTAGCTACACTCGCAATTTAAATCTAATGCAAAAAATTAATAACAATAATAATACTGGACAGTTAGAAAACCGCAAGTATTGTTACAGATGAGACAACAGGCAGAAAAAGGATTACCTATAGAAACACACCCTCAAATATCCACCAGAACCTTGGTAGGGCCCAAAGCAGTGTTGCAGTTCAGTTAAGTGAGCACATTGGTCTCAATTCTTATCTGTATCGAAGGAAAGTCCCCGGAGTGATTAATCCCAAATGTCAGTGTGGATATCCGTTTCAAAATGTCAAAAATATGGTCTTGGCGTGTCCTCAGTGGACAATAGTAAGGGGAGAGGTGCTTCGAAAGGCAAAAGATAGGTCATTTGCGGCAATGCTGAACAGCCCATATGACATAGAGAGAATTACAAAATGGATCCTGGCAAAAGGCTGATTTGAACAATTCCGGCTTGCAGGAGAAGTAGAAATAGCACTGGACGAAGAGATGAGACGATGTGGACAAGGATAAGACAGATTTCACACTGTATAAATAGCGTAAATGCACTTCCTGTGGGAAACCTCAGAAAACAAATAGACACGAGACAGACAGTTGTGGGGGGGTTTTACCGAGTTTAGTTTCCTCCTGTGTAAATATTATAGCTAGTTATACCTGCATGGACCCATAGAGTGTCTGGTTGGACTAAATGAAATTAAATCAAAAGTATTTCCTTGAAATGTTTTGAAATTGGTTACATTTAACCCAATCAGACACTCTATGGGTCCATGCAGGTGACTATCTTCATTATTTATGGAGGTGGTAGACGCTGAGGGTCAAACGAAAAATATAAAGTAAAATTATAGTGATGAAATCTCCGCTCCTCAACTCTTCTCCAGTCTTGATGCTATATACTCATTTGAAATTATTTCCGGGTGAGATTTGCTTCTGCTCGTTTCCCAATATTACAAACGAAATATATTACATGTGTTGGAGATCAAAAGATCTCAAGTTTGAGATTTGAACATCTTGATCATCGTGTCCCTGGTGAGATGTCAAAGCCCGAATGAGTTCAGAGAAGATGTATCATCCCAATATCCGATGATTCTCATTACTATATTAAGTAGGTTCCACACTATCAGATGTTTGACAGGAGGAAATCTATTTGGTGAAAGACCTTTGATGCTGTCTTTTTATATTGCTATCCATTTGTTTAGTTTACCTTCCGGAAGTGCAGCTTACACTATTCAGCGAGTGTGGATTCCGTCCTCTCCCCTTACAGATCGTTTTATTTTATCCGAAATTACCGCCTTGACTTCCTCTGCAAGTCGAAACTACTTTATCCATTCTTTTCTTGGTGTCCACTGCGTGATTATAGCCATGTATTCTGTGCTGCTAATTATTGCTTCAAATGACCTGTCTTTAGCTTGTGGGAGAAATTCGCCTCTTCCACTTGCCCACCTGCCTACCGCGGACACGACAACACGATGTGCTTAACGTTTTGTAAATGATAACCACATTGGCAGCTTGGGTTTTATCAAACTATGAATAGTTTGGAAGCGATCAATGTTAAATATAGAGTTTATGGTTTTAGGTTTATAAAGCTTGGAGTTACTTGTTTCAGATAAAGGTGTTTTGCTTAGGTTATAGCAATAAGAACTCTAAATCTTTTAACTAGAGATATTTCGTTATAAACCATGAGAAACGTGGTTCATGGGGACAAGTTGGAGATAGATAGAACATTGCCATTTTCTGAACATACATAATCTAGATAGTAACAGAAAGAGAAAGGGCAGTCGGGAATTTATTGACACTTTCTATATTTTACATAATTCAATTGACTCGTAGAGTCTAACAGGTTTTCTACTCCGTGTATTTTTATTCTCTACAGGTAAGTACTGAGCCCGATATACTCACTTCTTAGCGACACCGCTTTGGGCTCTGGTTAGGTTACGGTGTATGTCTGAGAGTGTATCTTTGAAGTCCATTCTTGCACTGCCTGTTTATTCATCAGTAAATATATTTGCCGCTTTCCAATGTTCTGGATCGGCCGATGCAGGTTGACCAAGGCGTTGTTACCTGTTCTGGCTTGTCCATAAATTCTTCCACTTCTGAAAGATCGCTATCTTTTCAGCTTCTTTCTGCCTCCCCTTGTCCTTTTCTCTTTCGCATAAAAATAACATTACTTCCTTCACGGGCCTGAGTCCTATCTCTGCTCCTTCCATGCAGACAGACTGCCACATGTAGTATGAGAGCACCGTGAATTATTATTTATATTTATTTAATCTGAATTTTTAGGACAGGGCTAGGTGAGTGTATTTATTGAGCTATCTATGTACTATTCGCTTGTAGAATGATTGCCACCTGGTTATGTTGTACGATTAGTCAGGACATCTTCGTCACGAAAAGTCGCAGGGGCAGATAGGGAGACGAATTTGCATATGCCAACGGTCAATTCCGGTACTTTAGTAGAAGTGATCAGCCCCGTTTTTACCAAAATTTTATAAAAATACCAAGGCTAGGTATTTCAATAAGTCTCGTTTTTTTGTGAAAGATTTTGTTGCTATTAAATTTGGTCCTTGACAATTAATCAAAATAAAAAATCACATAGGTGAGTCTGTTAGAAAAGCACTTATCCTGGAGGATGAATGGAAATAAAAAATACTAAAATCTAGATCTGGTTCACGAAATAATACGGCTGCAAGGCTTGAAATGAGTCACAATTTCACATTTTAAATGATGAGGCAACTAACTATAGCCACTGATTTGCTGTAATTTTGTTTACCCTAATATTTATCGTTAATCCAGTTTTTGTTTTTCAGATGATCTTCCAAACCTGCACAACAGATGAAGCAAATAATTGAACAGAATACCATCTTATCCCAGCTCAGTGATTATTGAATCAGGGTGTAAATCTGTTTCTAATCTGCAAAAGCCAGCTGTATGTTTCAAAAAGTATCATCCATAATTCATGCGCCAAAACGACCACCCATGCAGCTGCACGGGTTATTCACATTAAAATAGTGGATTAAGCATAATGACAGGTCGTCAATATATATGTTAAAGAAAAACGCCAGTCATAATTAGGGAAAATGTTAAACTGAGACTAAATTTCTCTGTTTCACAATTTTCAGTTTGTAGTTTTTTTCGAACGACCGTGTGGGTGGTCTCATGACAAGTGAAAAGCTCCTTGCCCCTCCCGAATTGCGGTTGTCATTCGTTCACGCATAATTTCTAGATTTGTGTAATCCGGCAACTTCAGATAATTGACACATGTCATAACACTAGGTAAGTAATCGTCAGAGGTGTAAGGTGCTTCACTTGGTTTGCGGACCACAGTGAACATGGGGGTGAGAGATTTGAAACCTGTCACTTTTAGATTCTACAATCTTGAAATTTGAATTAACTTACCTCCAATTGGCAGTTTGGGACTGCCAGTAGTGAATTGTAAAAACTCGCGACGCGTAGGAAGATCGAGCTCACTCATAGTTTGCAACAAGTTTCTTACACTCTTACTATCCATATTAAAGCCATGATCCGCCTTGATAGAGTCCATCAGTGCTGCTTTTATGTTAGTTCAAAAAGTAAAGTTTTAGAAAAATTTATGCAACCTACTTTCAAGAGACCAGTCCTCCTCGGATCTACCAAAAAGCATAACTAGTTCGTCAGGGGTAAAAGCACTCAAAGCAGTATAAGGGAAAACCTGTGTGAAACCAGCTCTGAACGCATCTATCTGTCTTTGTACACCGCTTCCTAGCGTCATATCAATAACTTTATCGAGATATTGCTCCACTTTATCAATAGTAACGGCAACTTTGGATCCGCCAGGCAATAGCTCTATTGATGAGTATCCTGGTAGAGTAAAGTCGAGACTTAGATCATCAATACAAATCCCATCAATTTTTAATTTCTCGGATTGATCAACTTTCTCCATGGCGGTGAGTACTGGGTTCATATCGATGGCTCTTTTAGCCATCACAAATCTTTTAATTAATTTCAAGGAACTCGAGAGCTGAGGGTCAACAGTCTTTACGGCTCCAAGAGATGGCGAAACAGTCTTGAAAGCATCACCAATACGGAAAAATGTAGGATTAAAAGAAACATCAATAATTCGAGAATCTATCATTGACCTTGCCACAAACTTGCCAAGCATTTTGAAGAGGTGAAGAATGCGTTTTCCATTTTCATTAGATGATTGTTCATCGCTCATTGGAGCCGGGAAAAGGCCATTCACACCAAATGCAAACTCATCAGTGTTATTGCTATCGCTCTCTCGCCATAGTTGAAGTTTTTTTTTCGAAAATTCCTTGGAGACCGTCGAGTAAAATTCTAGCGTAGGGCCAAGTCCTGTTCCAACTTCTTCGAAATATTCTACTTCTAGAATACTCTGGGAAGCTCCGTACAGCTCCATGACTTTGAGAGCAGACTCAAGGATCTTTGATCGAGAAATGCGGACTTTTTGACGTTGAAGACGTCCAAGAAATGGTCGATCGTCACGCTGTCTCTCTCGACGCGATTCATCTATTGATTGAGCTTTTTGCCATCTAGTCATGGATCGTGCATATCCAAAGGATGTTGACTGCAAAAAAAGATGCCGTGTCTCGAAGGGAAAGAGAAATGGATAACAACGAGCAAGGTCTTCGCTCCAACTAGGCAGGCAATTACTTGCGACAATTAGTGGTTCCTCTAATTGTCGGTTAAGCTTTGCAGTAAGCTTTGTGTTGACAAATTGAGACAGCGGCTCAACATTAAGCTTAAGTACTTCTCTGTTCTCAGCTAGAACATCATCAAGGTTTGAATTTAAAGCATGGAGTATATTGAGTAGTCTAAGAATAGACGAAGTCGCAGGTTGTTTGTCTAGGGAAGCTGGAATACCCGATGCGGTAGGCTCAGGAATGGTTTCGGACGCCTGGGAGAGGGAGCTAGGCTCTGGTGGAGGGGGTCCGGAAACTCGCTTAAATTTGATGGAATGAATTGCTGACCATAGACTCCTATTGCTATGATCCTCAATAGTGGCACCTCTACTATGAACTGCTCTATAGATAGTTGTCTCATTGGGGATGACAGTATTACCTAGGCTAAACTCAATGTGCCAGTCTTGGGGCACTGATTGAATAGCGGCAGCGTATGACATTGGCCGAGATGAAGAGCTCGTATTTGTTAGGATCTGTGGCAGGGGCGAGGATTGTATGGTAGACTTGCTGCGACGATTACTAAAATTATTGTGCGATGATGCAGTAGACCGAGCTCCATCTTCATTGCGGGTGGTCACCTTTTCCCCTGCGACAATTTCTAAGTTGACAGCAGCAGGATCGGGTATCTCCTCACTTATTTCTTCTTCTATATTGCCGACGATTGCATCCAATCCAGTGCCGTCATTTATATCTTCATCGTCGGTAAACTGTCTTTCGTCAACACATTCTAATGTGTTAGTTATGTTATCTCCTTGCAATGGTAGTGGGGCAGGTGCTTCAGTGGCTGCTTGGCGTCTATTTGATTGACGAGAAGTTACGCAATCGTGAACGTTCGAAGCAGGATTTCCCGAACCAGTAGAGTTTATGAGCGGATTGGCTTTGGGGTCTAGCTTTCGAGAGCTTCTAGATGTCCAAGGCGTTGAGTAGGAAGAGTCAGTTGTGGTTGCGGATCCAATTCCACGATCAGCAAGACGAGTATGAGGCATGCCAGCAAAAGGATTAGCCATTCCGGCCGCAGCCAATGCGGCTAGAGCTCCAGACAGGCTATCACGTGCTCGCAACCCTCGAGGATTTTCAGATAGATTGATTCTTGGGCGGAGATAGTCATCAAGGGCCTTGAAAGTTGCTATAGCATGGATAGATACCATAATATTTCGATACGGCCGCGGTATCTCCGAACTCTCATCAGCAACCAATTTGAGCCGTATCTGTTTAGCGAGCATTGAAGCTGCGCTGCTTTTATTTCCATCAAACGTGTTTTGATGGACAGTCACAACCTCAAAATGCTCAGATCGGCTGAGTAAGTCTTGAAGCTTATGCACTAGAATGCTAAAGGGAGTAGCAGATGACTCGGTTTTCTTGACCTTGGACTTTCTGCCTAGAGTCTGGTTCATGAAGACTTGTAAAAATGCGGAACGAGCTCCATTGCTGAGATTCTCGTCTGAATTATTGAAGACATCGAGTAAAACCCGGACAAGCTCTGAATTGAGGAGTTCAGCACTAGTAACACTCTCTAGAACATCACCGTCGAAATGTGATGCAAGTGCAGTAAAAAGCTCAATGCCGTTTCCAGGAGCTCCATGTAAATAATGGGCCTCAATATCTGATGCGAGATTTTTAAGGTCTGCAAGTATTTTTGTAGCTTTTTGTTTCATTTCTATACTGGCTTTTTCATTCTTGTGGAGATCTAAGAAGTTCTTTGCATGCCGAGCAACAGCTTGTTGCGTTGCAAGGACATCGGATTTGTTCTGATTTGGTGGATCTTCAAGTGACATAGTAGATCCACGAGAGCTAGCTGGTGAGGGGCTTATATCGTCATGTATTTCATCATTTTCATTCTCTGCTGTTTCATCACCATTCGAAGAGTTATCATCATCTTCAACTATTTCTGCGACTGTATCCTTTTTTTCGGGTACTTTGCTTGTGCCGTTGCTGGTGTCCTGCTCCGGCGAAACATCAGGAGCTTCCGGTGCGTTCTCAACTGCTTGAGCCGTCTCCTCGGCAAAATTTGTGGCTAATCTCGAAATCTCTGTTATTACACCTTCTCGGTAAAATTGATAGCGGTATATATCATCGAGGCGAAGTAGAAGAAGCTCTGCAGCTCTAAGTGCGAAGGTGACAAGAGATGGGTGGTCTTGCTGGGACAAGATGCCGGCCAGGAAAGAGGCGTACGGCACAGATCGCAATGCCTCTACCAAAATATCTCTATCAAGATTTGAGAGCATTTTAAGTTGTGCACTTAAAACCTTTTGGCGTACACTGAGGTTGATAGTACTAGAGAAAGCATCCGTTAACGTAGGAAATAGAATTATGGCAAAACGCCTAACTTCTATCTTGCACCCCTCTAACAACTCAAGCCGCTTTCCTCTTGAAGATAGCCTGCCCGAAGTTAAGGGTGAAGCCTCACCGATTGTTGTTAGCGTATCTATCTCAGTCGATCGCTCAAGACTATTGTTTGTTTCACGTGGGATTCCCGGTAGAAGCTCTCCGACAACATTTAAGGTCTCAATGACTTGCTCACGTGGTCTATGAATCAAAGCCTGCATGATGACGACGCTATCTAACTTCGACGCAACATCTTCAGTTGGGCTAGGTGGCGATACACCGGTCAGTATCTGATATAACGTCTCTACAACGTTCATCTTAAATAATGCTGTTGAAAGAGTGGGGCTAGCTTTTGCTGTGAAAGCAATAACCCGTAGAAATTGAGTCGCAATATTGGGACCAATGAGGTTCGTACTTCCCGGGTGAAGGAGTCGGAGAATTGCTTTAAGGAGGTCGGGACTAACAAGTTCTTCAAGTTTTCTTGGGTGGTACCTAAAACTCTCTACGACACGAGATACACAAAGTGAGCCCTGTTCGACGACTTTCTGGTCATTAGAGCCGAGCACATTTAGCAAGATTGGCATTACGTCGCGTATTATGGGAAATGAATCCTCTGGAATATTTCGGCAGCAGTTAGCTGCGGTCGTTACAGCGGTCCTTTGTGTGCTTGTAGCGAAAAAATCAAGATATGTTAAGCATGCCGTCAATCCGCCTTCTCTAACAATTGATGCAGGATACTCAACTGAAATCTTTTCAAGTGTCTGAAACATTTAGCAGGGCAAAATTAGAAGGGCGTTTACACTCACACTCAATGCTTGCTCAGCTAAATCGATAAAGTGTATTTCCAGAAGCTTTTGACAGAGAACAGGAACGGCGCCACCATAGACAACATTAGTTATGCTTGATGGTAATGCTTCCATCAAGTTGGCAATGCAGCGGCAGGCTAGTAGCATAATTTCGGTATTATCCTCATCAAAGTCAGTAGGTTGCATGAGAGATATTAACTCTTTCACAAAGGCATCGGGTGAGAAGTGGCCAGAAAGATTATCTTCCGTTGATACCAGAAGTATCTCAGAGAGGTCTTGCAGTGCAATCAGCTGTATGGAAGGGTCATCTTTTTGCTTTAGGTTGTTCAGTATATCTCGCAGCCTTGAAGAAACTCCTGAAATCATAGTACTTAACGCCCGAAGTGTGTTTGAGATTCCTTGAGGACCTCCGGGTACGCCAAATCCGCTGAAAGGATCTTCATCTTCGTAATCTCGTGGCATCTCTTCATCCTCATCTTCATCTTCCTCTTCAGCACTTCCTCCATCAGCCTCAGGAGAGGGAGTATCGGTAGTTTTGTTAGCTATGCTCGTTTCACTGTCTTTGGCATGATTCATATTTTTTTTTGTTTGACGGCTAGAGCTAGTGGTGTTGTTAGATGGTTCTAAAGTTATTAGTTATATGTCCGAGTTTGATACAAGAAGCACAGACCTTGTGCGTTCTTTTTATTTCGGGATGACCTTCTTTTAGTCCCCGAAGTTACGGTCGGAGGATCATTAGAAGCGCCACTGGAATCACTTAGAGATTGATCAGGGTCAATTAATACATCAAGAATCATTGAGCAAAGCTTACCCAGGACTCGACATAGCCGCTTGATTACTATTCTTCTTTCGACGTGCTACTACAGTTGTTACTTGTGTAGGTGTTGAGGTTGAGGTTGTTCGCTCTGCTTCTGCTACTGCTACCACTTTCTGTCTCTTGGAACGACGAGCTGTCGAAGCTTTTGTTTGGTCTAGTACAGGTTGAATTGAGGTTTGATTAGATTCAAGAGCGGGTGCTTTGCGTTTTCTCGGTGGCACTGAGACTCGATTTGGTGCAATTGTTGGAAGAGGTCCTGCAGGCGTGTTGACTGATTCTGAGCAGCCTGCTGCTAGTCTTGCTGCGGCCCTTGTAATTCTACTGATTGGAGGCATGAGTATTTTGTTCTACAGAGGAGCTTTAACACGGTGGTAGATCGGCTTGCTCAGGAAGAAGTTAATGGGGAGGAGATGAATACGAATGAGGCAAGAGGAGGCTTGGAGGTGAATATGGATTTGTACCTGGAAGTTGCGTTCGAGCCTGCTTTTCTTTCGCTATCGAAGGCTGAGTTAGATGTCATTCGTTGATCCATCGGCTCACGCCATTTGCGCTGGTAGATTTTCGAGAGGTCGTAAGTATAGTTAGGGATAGTTGTGCGGAGACTATGTCATTACTATGTCAGGGACTCACAGCTCTGATGTAGGAGAGTTTCTCGCTTAAAATGGACCCCCAGCTCGAGGTTCTTAGGCCATGTGTATGCAGGTATGACTCTGCATCACTGTTGACATATGAATCGAATAGAATTTGATTGAAGTCCTCAAGTTGACTTATGATCTAGTAAGAGCAAACAAACATCTAACTAGGTAGTGTAGCTGTTAATTTGATGATATTGCCCAAAATCTAACAATTTCTTCTAAACATATTATGCTGGCACAAAAAATGGCAAAGGCTGGCCCTTCATCGCTAGCTTTTAACGTGAGATGAAGACATAACGATAACGCAGTAATCCCGCGAACCAAGCTTGTTGACATCCTCTTTAAGCAGGGTAACCAAAAAAGTCGATCTTTTAACAATGAATACTAGAACTGCTCTACAACCCTCAATAAATAAAAATTGTAGAACATATCATTCGTCGTTAGACATCCCTGTCAGAGGATTACCGTACACGTTCTTTGTTCTTATGGTGAGTATTTACAGGCTTTCTAGTATACTATATCAAGCTGTTGAATGGGGTCTTTTTATTGAGCTATAATTTTACCGCTACTTCGAACCTTAAATGCTTGTTTTGTCGCAGCTATTTATACCGAATTATAGACCTCATTTCACGGGCTAAATACTACACAAAACCCAGCTATAATTAATTACACTTAAATATAGCGAGATCCGAAAGAAATAAAAACTATGAAATTGCAAGATTTTATCTCAGACGTGATGCGTTTCTCGTTCAGACAAGCTCTTGTGGGAGGTCAAAGCCTTCAAATCTGCCCATATTGTCCCAACGAAGGCTCGCTCTCACTGTAGAACTTGTAAATTCAAGCTCAAGTCTTCAAGTAGCAAGCAAGACTTCTCTTTCAGATGAGTCATTGGCGTTTCCCAGTACTTAAGCAGGTACAAATAAATTGCACTGAGTTATTTCACAGCATGGGGGGACTATTCTCAACACCTGTCAGTGGTGTCCCCTACGAACCTCCAGCTCTCACTGTACAGTCTGCAGAGCCGAGATTGAGTAACAAAGTCCTCACTTCGACGAGGATTCCCAATCGCTTTCGCCGTCTGTATCGTCTTCATCTCTCTACACATTCCCCTATCACCATTATAATGAAGCTAACCACGATCAGATCAGATGGTAGGGTCGGAGCCCAACTCATCATCAGCCCTTGATCATAGAGGAGATGACATCTGATGAGTTTCCGGAGCGTACCCAGCACCCGATACGGAGATGGTGGATTGGATCAAGTCGACCTCGACTGTTACAAAGAAGGGAGATATAGATGAATACGCGCACCTCATGTGGTCCCGGTGTCTAGGCCTCGCCTGGCTGGGGCTGCAGGTTTTTTGAGACTTTTTCCCGCGCACGCAGTTTCCATTGCTACTATTTTATTTTTTTGGCTGGAAGGTTCCGTGGAAAAGAAGGCAGAATTCCACGGGCAAACACTGAGCTGAATGGCTATTCATCAAGGGGAATATATCAATGATCTTTCAAGAAACATGAGAGGCAAGGAGCACTGTACAAGGTTTGGCCTGGGTCAGAGAGGAGCCCAACGTGCTAGATGCTCATAGCCTCTAGAACTACATTATATACAATTATAGATTATTACAGGCACAGCATTTGAATGTGTACCAACATGGAGATTTTTTACAGTAATACATATATATTATACAAGAGGTTACGATTTTCGATAACACTAAGCCCATGGAAATATTCATCCTAAGAAGTAGGAGTCCAAATTAACCTAGCCAATCATCTCACCATTCAACGAAAAAAAAAACTAATCTTCGTCATCGGAGTCATCCACGTCAGGTAGAAAATTACGGTATCTCCTACTCGCCAGATCTTCTTCTAAGCCTCCATCGCTCTTTGGATCAACATATCCACTTCCTCCCAGAACACTCAATGCCACCGGTAAAAATACTAAGGCGTGTGTGGAAGCGAAGATGACCAGAGCCAGCCATATCCTAAAGTAATAAATTTCGAAAATTTTAGACCTTGTAAAAGCCAAAACAATTACTCCAAGTAGTTTAGTGACTGTGATTCCAGAGAATACAGATCCTCCCACGTTAACGAGTGCAGTCCATACACGAGCATCTCGTCCATGAAACTTGTTTTGAGCGCGTTCCATGATTGAACGAGTGGGGAACATGAAAGCTCGTGCAACGTGAGCACAAAACTCCACGCCAATACCAACGCAGATGACTAGGTTTACCAAACTAACAGCATTAAGAGGTATTCTAAATAGGCCCATCGTCCCAACAATATCAACTAGTATCATAGTAACTGTGATAGTAATTACAGCTCCAGTCTTAAAGGAACCAAGTAGAATTGATGAAACGAGTAAAATAAGAGCCAATGCTGATCCAAGGAGAGAAACCGCTAATTTAATTATCGTTGTGTATTGGTCAAAGAATATGTAAAAAAGACTATAAGGAAAAACTTCAATATCGTTGGCTTTGCTAATTTCATCAGAAATCTTACGGGCTGAGGCATAAGCTGATATAAAATCGTCTTGACTTCTTAGGGGAGTATGACTAGTGCGGAAATGGCTGGCTGGTATAGTGCCTCTTTCGGCATCAATAACAAGCGAGGTACTGTAAGGTGCTTGGCCTCCAAGTGGACAAGCTTCGTTTGTTGGCGCTGCAATCCATTTTTGCAAATAGTGCACAAATTCTTCTCCCTCTGGCATACCGTATAAAGTTATATTCCACGGGGGATTGCGATTCTCAAAACAAACATGGTTAGACTCGATGCAACATGATGAAAGAGTAGGGTCAAGCCATCGGAAATAATCATCAAGCCAGCTCGCCGGTGTAGAGGCTATGTAAGAAATTTCAGGACGTTTCCTCTCTTGCTCAAGAATATTAGTAAGTGACTTTTGGTGACAAGTTGTGAAGCGGGAGCAAATTTGTTGTTGGTGAGCCCTCTCCGTAATATTGAGTTGACGGGTGACAAAATAAACCGGAGGCCCAGTGTTTAAGTAGTCATATATGTCATTAAAGTATGGAATCAGGTAAGAGTCAGCTGGAACTGCATCTCTTTGGTCAAGCCCTAGGGTTACTCTGGGCATCAAAGAGATACTAGCTGTAAGGATGCTCATGAAAATGAGGAAAATCAATACCTTTACTTTTCTACCCAGTATCGTCGGAGCATAGTTCTTGCATATAAAGCGTTGCAGGAAACTCTCGTCATGGCCTTCGTATGGACGAATTACTCCATTTGCATAGTCATTGTTGCTCCCAAGCTGAATGCTTTTCAGTCGTACACAAGGAAAGCAATCAACTCGACGATTCTCAACTCTTCTTTCGTTTAAAGCTAACACAGATATAAACATAGTAACTTGCAGAATTGCATTAATGAATACAGCGCCAGCTGCATACACAGCAAAATTACGCACAGCCGGCATACCTACAAACGTGCCCAGTGAGAATGCAATTGTCTCTGTAACAGCTGATAGAAGAATAGATGGACCAATGCGACCTAAAGCTCTAGCGATCCGAGATTCAATATCAGCATCTGCATGGCTAATATTGACATTTTCAAGCTCATGAACAATAAGGAAAATGTTATCAACGCCAACAGCTAGAACTATAAACGGGATAACTTCAGCGATGATTAAGGTTATTTTAATACCTATCGCGGAAAAAAGACCAATCGATGCCGAGATTGACATCAGGACTATGAGGATTCCTGCCACTCCTAAAGTGAATTTGGATTCAATAAAAAGCTTTGTTGGATTTTGAAGGATGGATCTTAGAGATAACACTTTGGAACCTAGAGCTAAAGATGCATAGAAAAACATTATAAGATAACTTATTATAATAATCTTGGCATCCGTGTTCGAAGACTTGTTTAGTTCTTCTTCAAGGCTGATTTCAGTAGAGAAAGATAGACGAAGTCCACGGGATACAGCTTCCTCTTGTAATTCCAGTAGAGTAGAGCGCATCGATACCTCCCAATCCATTGCTTTAGTGAGTTCAGTAGATTTTTCGGCGTAGTTTGTAATGACCCAAGTAGTTATTATGGCGGGAGAGTCTAATAGATTTGTTGAATCGTCCACACCTCCTAGAATCATGGCTGGATCGATAGGTTGTCCAAAATCAGGTAGGCAGTTGACTGGAGATGCGATACAATATTTTAACCTTGCTTTCCAAGTAGAAGATGTCCATTTATTTATATTGTTTTCAAAGTATGCCGACACTGACTGAATTACGCACGCTTCCCCAGTTGGTTTAAAGCATACGTCATCTAGAGAAACACCAGTTTCCCGACCCTTTATTTTACTTATTTTTTTCTCGATATTAATCCACCATTGGAGGGTTTCGAAACTTAGGACTGGTCCAGGTCCGCTTGGTTTGGTGTCGTTGATCAGGATAACTTGTTCAACACGGTAGAAGGGGCCAAAGTTTGCGTCGAAAAAAGCCTTTTCCTTTGCAGAAGCAGAGTTTGGGCTCACCCATAGCCTGGCCGGATCTCGTTCAATTTCAAAATTAATACACCCTAGGCTGAGTATACCGACAATTATTACACAGCTTAGTATCGTTACTCCTGGAAACCTAGCTGCGACGTAGCCAAGCCGACTGAAGAAACTATCAAAGAGAGTATTGAGCCAATATATTTTATATGGGCGATTACACATGTCACCTTCGTGAATCATGTCACCCTCATCGTCATCTTCGTCGCACTGAGATGTGTCCTGAAGTAGTCGCAAGTGCTCACTTCTTCTGGCCTGTTTTATCCGTACAGCATGATTAGACACAACTATAATAAAAAATAGTGACAAGATACTGTAAACTATAATTGCACCAAAAGATAAGCATGGGAGCCGACCAACATGACAAGATTCGTGACGTGAAATTTCAGGCAACGCAGGGCAAACTTTCAAACAGTCAACACATGCACATCGAAATCTGTCATCTTCATCATTACATTCTTTTGGAATCATTATTTGTGGTTTCATATCCTTTTCTTTGTAGTAGTTTGGATCAGGAAAATTGATCTGAAACGGTGAACCAAAGGGTGGATTTTTCTTTCCAAGAAAGTTGAGAAAATCGACATAGCTGTTAGCACCTCCTCCGATGAAGTCAATGGCATTAGTATTTGTTGGTCCGAACTTGACATCTTTGCAGCTATCAAATAATCCAGAACCATACTCGGTATCTAGAAGTTGGTCAAGTTCTGCTACTTGAAGCTTTGTTCCATAGGCATTAGCTTGCGTAACATTTAGAAACAAAGACTGGTCTGGAGAGCATGTGAAAGTGCAAAAGAGGTTGAAGAAGTTTTCTTTACATGCAGGGCAGGCAGATATGAAATTCTTGGCTTTATTTAAGTTGTCTGATAGTGACTGAATCTGTAATTAATCAGCTTTCTGGTTGTGATAATGCTAATATCTGTTGGTACCTGGCTTTCTTCGCAGCACACAGGGCCAGAACTCCATTTAGACCCGCATAATTCTACTAGCTTTTCCCGTACATCGGTCGCTGGTTCTTCAGCTTGACCATTGTAGGAGCAGGGGACTGGTGGCGAGAATAAGGATCCACCTCCGCAATTTCCACGTATAGCACATCTGCCAGCTTCATGACGTTTTGTGAATGGCTCACCGATCGCATTGCAGGTTAGAGCTGTGACGACGGCGAAGCACCAAAGGCGCTTCATCACCATTTAGAGACTCAGAATCGGGGTGATGCTTTATTTTGTTCCCAATTAGTTTATCAAAAACACGACGACTTTGATTTTGTGGTCGGCGAGATGACCGCGTGGATTTGTTGCCTACCCTCAAAGCTTGTATGGTCTCTGGGTTTAGTCACTTCCGTTCTAAATATGCGACAGTTCAGGACTACGTCACCGCACAACAAATGCCCTTGTACCCTGAAGCCAAAATAATTAGTACTAGTTGATTGGTCAGATAGTCTTGTGGTACATCATGTAAATCAGTTGATGGTTTCAGACGTCTTGGCCGTAAATCATTTTTCCAAAAGTACGCAAGTCAATGTGCAGGCATAGTTACAGGCTCTGAGCGGATATTTATAGGCGATGGGAGTAACACAATTTTCCAGAGAGAAGTTTTTGTACAACGCGAAGGTCAGAACAGTAATTAAAAGTTCACAAATTTCGGCCAAGAGGAAAGATTCTTGTAGCATTAGTAGAGCTGCTAAGAAATATTCAAAATGAATGTCTAAAATCAGTAATAGGAGAATATAAATCAAGCGGATTCAGGATCCTATAGCGTGAAACCTCAACCTACCAATCGATATATACCCTGTACACTGTAGGGTCTGTAAGGATTCTTTTTACTATCATTAGTTTGTTCATGGATGGCCTATATCACTCAGGTGATGGATATAAATCAGGTTACAAAATGTAGTCTATTTGCCATCGTTAATCTTTTTTTCAGGGCTGATTTAAGCCAATAGTGTACACGCGCGTCCGATTCAAGTGAGCGGTACGGAACATCCTTAATCTGACATTCTTCCAATCTCGAGCTGCTGATGTAAAAGGACGAGAATCACGGACGCTGCACGCAAAGGCTGCCACAAAATAATCTATATTTTCTATGAAGAGAACACTTCAATGGGACAGAGCCAATCTAAGGTTTGTGCTGATGACCACCTTACAAAAGCACTTACTAAGCGTCTAACCTGGTGCAATATTATTATCATTTTTTTAATTCATATTGTGTGTTTGTGTTTATTGTACTACTTGAGTGTATGACTATCTAGCACATTGGGCACCTCTCTGACCCAGGCCAAACCTTGTACAGTGCTCCTTGCCTCTCATGTTTCTTGAAAGATCATTGATATATTCCCCTTGATGAATAGCCATTCAGCTCAGTGTTTGCCCGTGGAATTCTGCCTTCTTTTCCACGGAACCTTCCAGCCAAAAAAATAAAATAGTAGCAATGGAAACTGCGTGCGCGGGAAAAAGTCTCAAAAAACCTGCAGCCCCAGCCAGGCGAGGCCTAGACACCGGGACCACATGAGGTGCGCGTATTCATCTATATCTCCCTTCTTTGTAACAGTCGAGGTCGACTTGATCCAATCCACCATCTCCGTATCGGGTGCTGGGTACGCTCCGGAAACTCATCAGATGTCATCTCCTCTATGATCAAGGGCTGATGATGAGTTGGGCTCCGACCCTACCATCTGATCTGATCGTGGTTAGCTTCATGATAATGGTGATAGGGGAATGTGTAGAGAGATGAAGACGATACAGACGGCGAAAGCGATTGGGAATCCTCGTCGAAGTGAGGACTTTGTTACTCAATCTCGGCTCTGGAGACTCTACAGTGAGAGCTGGAGGTTCGTAGGGGACACCACTGACAGGTGTTGAGAATAGTCCCCCTAATTCATATTGTATTCAGCTATACAGGTATGACAATTTATTTCTAATTTACAGCAATCCTGGTGCAATAGCCAGACCCATTTGCTACATCCCGCTTACATTCAAGGCTGGGCCCGAAAGTCAGCCCAGCCAACTGATACCGGGTAAACCCCGCAACAGCTGGGTGCAACAACGTCTTAGTTTTTGATATTTTTTGGATGTTGCCACGACAAAATTTGGTATCTTAGCATTGAGTATTAGGTTGTTACTGGTGGAAGGCCTAAGTTATGATGAACTAGCAGAAGAATATCATGTGTTAATATGTATGCATGATGGCATGGCCTGTTACAGATTTTCTCATACTTAGTTTTCTATCATAAGCAACTCCTTCAGATCATCCCTGGTCACCTTTCGTACCTTCGGCCACCAAAATTTTTCTCTCGAACCTGAAGCATCTTTCATCATTGCTGTCACGGCACGGCATTCTGCCCGTTCATGAGATATGGTCACGTGGATGGAGGAGACTGATGGCTGAGGTGGGACGCCCGAATAGGAATAGCCTCGGGGCTTTTTATACTTAGATTCTATTCTTTTCTATTCTTCTCCAGCTTAGTATTCGCTTCACAGATTGAATTATCGCTATATGTCACAGTTCGAGTGTTGATGCTGGAGCAATCAGATATACGAAGGTAGTTAATAATTTTCTCTATGGCTAACTATCATAGTTGTTAAATTAAATAACTGTTGGTCAAACATGATTATTCTTGCACCTGAATATAATGGAGTTATGGTTGTGACTATTGTTTACTTAGGAGCATAATGAGTAAGGCGTTTGGAGATCTTATATACCCTGTATTAGTAGTTCCATATTAGCGTGCATCGAGAGCTAGGTCGTAGCATTAGGAGAGAGTGCAGAGCAGTAGTTGCAATACATGCTCTGTATTTTATGTTAACCCAATACTTTATCAAATCTACTTCTAGTAGTCCTATATCAGTTGTCTAAGAGAATCATATTCCAATAAGAGTATTACTTCATCTATTTATACATTTATGAAGATCCCTAGAATACTCGTACTTGACTGATATCTGCTTCTCGTATATTCCAGTCATAGTAGTTCCCAGTATTGCTACCAATTACTAGAATATTCCAGTTACAGCTGAACTGATCTGGAATAAAGCTAGACTACTGTAGAATTAAAGAAGCACGTGAATACAATCACGTGCCACACAACAATCGGCTCACAAGCTGTTACACTATACAAGCTGTCATTCGTTGATTGCTGCATGTTCAACTTTCACAACTCATAGCAGAAACAAAATCCCACTCTCCTGTAATTCACACTGGCTCCCATAAGAACTAACGACACTCGGGAGAAATCTACTTAATCCCAGGTATTCCACAAAACCCAACTCAAAATAGCATCAAAGCCGAAAAATACGAACCCGAACTTTCACCATCCAGTACGTGCTCAGCCCACAACAGGTGACGAGATCGCCCAAACGCAGATTAGAATGATGGATCTGGAAGATCCCGAAAACAACATTGAAATGTGTAGCCCAGTTGCTACTCTCGACTACAACGACCCTCTCGAGAGCAGCTCCCTCGGAAGCACTCTTGCTAAGAGTGTTACGGTTTGACCGCTATTAGAGCTTAGGTGAATACCTAAGCGGATTGTTGGGAATATTTACAACTAAGCGGCACTACTAGTCAGGAGGTCGAAGCGTTACTACAACTAAGTAACACCTGGCAATGCGTGGCTGGGTAGCAAGTATTGTGCCTAAGGATAAGTCATCAGTCTGGAGATTGACGAAGGGGACCAATTCTTATAAATACCTGTTAGTTGTAGCTAGAGTTCTCTTTTCTCCTCATATAGTTTAATAAATCGATTTATTCACAACCAACTCGGTTTCCGTCACAAAAAGTGTCTAGACCACAACCTCCCGCGTCAAAGAGGCGGAGAACCTGTTCAGCAACATAGCCCACACTATTGATCAGCAGTTCAATGATCTTACCAAGAGTAGCCTACCAGGGAACCAACTAAAGACTCTACTTCTATTCCTCAAAGATCTCTCTAATGTTGCTGGAAGCCACTTCTCGGCCTACATTAGCGGGATAACATTGGAGCCCACAGTAATAGCCCCAGGTGAGAACGAAATAGGCGATTCTCCCAGCCCGCTACCACGACTCCCACCTACGCTGGAGCAGCACACCGCGCAGCGCAGGCGTCCCCGCCACAAACCGAATCGGCTAGAGGCAGCCAGACCTTACTGAAAAACTCTCCGCATCCAAGCGTAACTAACGAACATTACCAACGCCCAGACAATAGATTGTTCGTCCGCATTCCAGAGGGAGATAAACGTCGGAATCTCTCTGCGTACGCAATCCAGACACATCTGAAATCAAAGCTGGGCCCTAGCAGCCCGCTCTTGACCAAATTCCAAGCAACTAAGATAGGATTCGCTCTGTGCCCAAAAACCGGCAAATCCACTGCTCCGAAAGAAAAAAATTGCTTCAGTGGACCTTCTAGGCAATGCAATCATAGAGAGCGCAACCCCATGGGTGTCCTTTTGTATTGAAAATGTTCCACGCACCTTTTGGGGCAATTAACGACAACTTGGAGTACTGCTTAAGGCCAGTAACCCCAGAAGATATCCACGAAGCCCAGACCTCCGCCACAGATGTATCCCCAGTTACCGTCTTACCTTCAAAAAATAATGATGCACGCCCCAGCTCCTCAGCCACATCATAGATCGTCCGTTTCTCAGAGAGTCACCAACGTCTGCCCCGTGTCCTTTACCTATTTGGATGCTGAACTGTAACAAAGCTCCTCCCGAGACGACAGTCAATCATGCAATGCACCCGTTGCTGGCTATGGCACAATAGTCGCTCATGCGAATCTCCTATTAGATGCCGTCTCTGCGACTCGCCACAACACACCAAAAGAGAACACAACAACCACTGCACTGCCCCCGCAGGCCATATATGCCCCCCTCAATGTATTCATTGCCATGGTCCTCACGCAGCTAATCATGCCGCCTGCGAACTCCACCCCAAGCCTAATTCACCCCCTAAATCCAAACCGCAAATATCTGCAATCAAGAAAATCAGCGCAGAAGCTATCCTGCGATACCAAGCAGAAGCTAGCTGCGTAAAACCCTCACCAGATATCTCCAATATTACCCAGCAATTCATCTCTACTCCAGCATTAGATAATCTCTTTTCAGGATCAATACCACAAACTAGACAAAAATCCCCGAAAGTGGGACCCCACCCTGGCCCGCCTGCTCAAAGCTCAAACAACCGTTTCGATATCCTTAACGTAGAGGATAGCCAGAGCGAG